GTATACAATTCAGTCTGAAGGAGAGCAAGTCTTCATGGGAAACTCACAAACTTCGAAGGTCACCGACAAAGGAAATGTGCTCCTGAAACTGACTTCAGGAAAAATTCTAATGTTGAATGATGTGCTGCATGTGCCAGAGATCCAATGAAACTTGGTATCGAGAGCACTCCTCAGCAAATTAGGACTGAATCTCACATTTGGGGTAGACAAGGTTGTGTTAACAAAAAATAATGTTTTTATTGGAAAAGGATACAATGTTGGAGGATTGATTGTACTGAATATTTCTGATATTGTTATGAATAAAAATGCTTTTTCTTCTGCTTATATTGTTGAATCTTTTAATATTTGGCATGCTAGACTAGGACATCGTAGTACTCCTTATTTAAAATGATTATGTAAATTAGGGGTTTCAAATGTTCCAATTAACTTTACAAATGAAAATTGCCAAGTATGTGTAGAAGCAAAATTCACTAAGAAACTGAATTATTACACCTTATACATAGTGATCTAGGAGACCTTAAATGTCATGAAGCTAGAGGAGGAAAAATATACTATATAACATTTACAGATGACTTCTCTAGATATGCAAAAGCAGATCTACTTAGATCAAAAGATGAGGCTGATCAAGCTTTTGTAAACTACAAAACTGAAGTAGAAAACCAGTTTGGAAAGAAAATAAAAAGACTTAGAACAGATAGAGGGACTGAATATGATGGACAAACCATTAGAAAATTCTTTGAAGAAAATGGAATTATACATGAAACTACAACCCCTTATCAACCTGAATCTAGTAGAGTTGTAGAAAGACTGAACAAAACACTAAAAGAGATGATGAATGCAATGCTAATTAGTTCAGGTGCACCTCTGAATTTGTGGGGGGAAGCAATCCTAATGACTTGTCACTTATATAATAGAATACCACCCAAGAAGAAAGGACAAATACCTTTTGATGTGACGGGTTCCGGTCACGTATCATTTTTTCATGATGTGTCAATTTTTTGGCTGTGACTCAGAGGCTGAAGTGGAGCTCTCTGGTGGCGAATTGTCTGGTGGTGAACTACCTTGATGAGCTGCTTGGAGGTGAGCTACCTTGATGAGCTGCCTGGAGGTGAGCTACCTTGATGAGCTGCTTGGAGGTGAGCTACCTTGATGAGCTGCTTGGAGGTGAGCTACCTTGATGAGCTGCTTGGAGGTGAGCTACCTTGATGAGCTGCTTGGAGGTGAGCTACCTTGATGACGAGCTCCCTAGTGTAGTGACCCCCGACTGCTACCGGCAAGAGGTGATCTGGCTACCAGTAACGATGAAAACTGAACTGTCTACTCCCTGCTAGCGATGATCTGCTCATCTTTGTAAGTGGCGGGAGCTAAGGGACTTGCGAGAACTAAATCAGAGAACCCGGGGGTGTTTTCCCGGTGAGGTCACTCTGATGGCTAAGTTAGCGCAATATAGTAGTAGAGAGCTTGAAGATGATAAGAGAATGAGAAAGCTAGAGAGTAGAGGTTACCCATCCCTTTTCGCATCATCCTCACATACCTTTATGCATTTTTGCCTCATACCTTCGCCCCTGGGGGGGTGAGGTCCTTATATACTGAAGTCCTTGTGGGTTAGGTGGAGCAGTTCCTGGATTCCAGCTGTGATGGGACTGGCTTGCATGTTAGGTGGGTGAAATGCCATCAAACGGTAAAGTTGTCCCTTCTCGTCAGACTCGGGGAGTAGGTGAGCTAATATAGCCGTTACAAGTCACAATCCCGTGAAATGCGGGGTACGGAGGTGTGTTCCTCGAGGTTGTCAGGTTGGCGCTTGTGTCAGGCCGCCAGGTCGGTGCCTAGGCTAGGCCGTGCCTATGGGACACCATCATCTTAGCAAAGGCAAGTTGTTGCCAAAGTGGTCCCGGGTGTCACCTAGTTGTTGTGAATTGCCAGGCTACAAGATGGTGAGCTACCTGTGGCGAGCTGCCTATAGCGAGCTGCCTAGTTGTTAAGAGGCTGCACTTAGTTGCCAAGAGGTTGCCAGGTGTCATAATGTCATTGGAGAGCCAAATCCTCCCTCATCACCTTTTAAACTTTGGCATAACAGAAAACCTAGTTTGAACTATCTAAAAGTTTGTGGCTGCCTAGCAAATGTTGGAATACCTGAACCTAAAAGAAAGAAATTATGACTGAAAACCTGTAACTATGTGTTCATTGGATATGCACAAAATAGTGCGACTTATCGGTTCCTTGTAATTAAAACAATTGATAATGTTGTCGAAAACAACACAATAATAGAGTCCCGAGATGCAGAGTTCTTTGAGCACATCTTTCCTTGGAGAAAAGAAACAACAAATAGGGAACCTTTCCAAAACCAAACCAGAAACCAAGAACAATCGAGTGCTCAAGGAGTCAGTATTTCACTTAGGCAAGAACCAGACATAAAGAGAAGTAAAAGACAAAGAAGAGAAACAAACTTGAGTGACAGAATGTTCACATTTCTGGTGGACAAGGACCCAATAACCTATCAGGAAGCCATAACTTCACCTAATGCAGTATTTTGGAAAGAAGCCATAAAAAGTGAAATAGACTCCTCAATCACTAATCACACTTGGGAACTTGTAGATCTCTCACCTAGAACTAAAGCACTGGATTGTAAGTGGATTTTTAAGAAAAAACTAAAACCAAATGGTACAATAGATAAATTCAAGGCCAAGTTAGTTGCTAAGGGTTTAGACAAAAGAAAGATGTAGACTTCTTTGACACCTACTCCCCGATTGCAAGGTTAACAACAATTAGAGTTTTGTTTGCTATAGCATCCATCTACAAATGGTAGTTCATCAAATGGATGTGAAAACAACTTTCTTAAATGGGGCGTGGGCGTGGGCGTGGGCGTGGGTGAGGGCGCGAGTGCGGATGTACGATACACCGAATCATTTTTTGCTTTTAACCAGTTTTGAATTTTGAATAAAATGTTTTGTTTCTTTGAATTCAAATTTATTTTTTAAATTAAAACGTTTTCTTCCTCCCTGTGCCTCTTCGAATAGGTGCATTGTTCTAAAGAGGCTCCTGTTTGAATGGACACATCTGTGTTCATTTGGGTTTGAGAGCACTCTATAAGAGGTGTGTTGTTCGACATAGTCTACACACAACAAATTTCGACTCTCTATCTTCTTTGTAAATATGAGCATCAAATTTCTTTGGTTCACGGAGGTTTGGTAAGCGAGTGCACGCCTACTAGAAGCATGTGGGATGTTTTATCTTGACAACCGATTTACGATCACCAGGCTGCACTGTAGGGGGAAAATGCAGTTTCAAGGAGAGTGACCAATTGGCACGACTCAACCCTCCTTCTCCCTACAATTCTCAGTTTCGAGATTCTACAACATCACATCACTGCAAATTCGATTTGGAAAACAATTACCGATAAGTTCCATTCTGCCTTCTTTATTATTTTTACAACATGTCTGGAAGAACCCCAAGAATCCTCTACAAATGGCACATGGCCAGAGACACCAAAAAGAAGGGTAACTCCAACAAAGAACAGTTCAGCAAGTGTGACTCCCTAGATTAGCAAGGACTTCTCTTAAAATCGTCTTTCCATACTCTTTCATTTCCACTTTGAACTTTGGGAATTGGGGTTGCATAATTGCATGTTCAGGTAGTAGAAAAATACTCGCCTCAACGCAGTATTCATGGAGACTAGACATGTTCATGGGCCGGGCCGGGCCAAGCTTTTACTCTTTATTAACAGAAAAATGTTAGGCTCGAGCCCGAGCCCAGCCCAACCAACGGGCCTACAACTTGGGCCCGAGCCTGGCCCTGATAAAAAGCCCAAAACCCGACCTAATAAAAGAAATTCAAATTTTTCCCTATTCAAATAGACATTATCTATTTTAATTCAGATGTTTTTTTCCCCTATTTAAATGAACAATGGGCCTACAAGTGAATCAACAACATTCTTAAATAAAAAAAATTATTCAAATGGACATCACATAGGGCTTTTACTTAGGTTTAACTATAGATTAGGCCGGGTCGGGCTCGGGCCGGGCTATTTTGGCAAAGTCTGAGCTCGGCTCGAATTTTATGCGGGCCGGGCTTTTTGGCCCGAGGTTAAGCCCGCAGTCCAAAATGCCTGTTCAAGCCCGTCCAGGGGCCGGGCCGGGCCAGGCTAGGCCGGCCCGTCGGGCCACCCGGCCCATGAACAGGTCTAATGGAGACAAGATTTGCTTCTCATAGAGCGTGGCTCACACCAACCTCAGGTTTACAGCATTTGCAACCGCATAGCATTTGCAACCTCATTCATGGAAGATATTCTCCATGCACGGATGCAACGTGCTATGAGGTTAGTGTAAGGTGTGTTGTGTGAGGAGCAAATCGGAATTCGTATTCATGGCCATCATCCCATATTCCCATCGGCATGGATAGCTACACCGGTCAAAGAAAGAGAACGATCCAGGTTGCAACGTTTATCAGGTTGGATAACGTCCAAAAACAACCTTATAACAGCCTTAACAATTAACATTGGTTACCGGAAGCTTTGTTTCGGTTGCTATTAACGAGTAATGACTGGCATGGCGATACGGGTGCCCAATCTCTACACTAATTTCCAGTAAACGTGCTGAGCTGAGTTACACAGTCTAGGTCCAAAGAATGCCAGGCCACACCGCCGCATACACCGTAGGGCGTAGGCCTAGGGTACACTGGGGTTTAATTTACCCAATAAACGTAACTAATCAATTAAGTTCCTGAGTTGCAACTTGACATTGATCCAAAATGAATATAAATGACCCAAAACCTTGTTTTCTCCTGAACTGTGTATCACTTTTTCTACAAAACCTGCCATGATTATCAACCGTTATTTTCATATTTTGTTCTGAATCAAATCCTGATGACCTCTTCAGTGTAAACCGAAAACCTGAACATTACAGGGTTAAGAAAACCTCGAGATCAGTGTGGCCTTGAATAATTGGTTCAAACCTGTTTTTTAAGGGGACCATCCGGGGGGAAGGACACTTGCATTTTTCCAATTTCAAACCAGTTAAACAAGGATTTCTATTTCTTCCATTAGAGAAAAGATTTATTTCTAGCAGTGGTACGAATTATAGAATAAACCAATAAAACATTGTCTTGTGAGTTCCCACTGTCACACAGGAACTACAAACACCATAACAGGAAAAAAAATTAAAAATTATTGAAAGCTTGTACTAGCATGCCGTTACAGCTAGTTACTCTCAGATTTACTACACAGGTATATAGAAGAAAAATGAAAGGGAAAAACCTGAAAGGAAAGATCATGGCAATCTCCAATTAAGACCAGCATAAACTGCTCGTTCTCCAAGCTCTTCTTCAATTCGAAGCAACTGTAAAAAAATAATAGTAAACAGTATTAGTTAGCACCTTTGTTATTTCTAAATATTTTTTTGGCAAACTGTTATGTTCTAAATCCAGTTTTATGAAACGTTGTTGTGGGAAAAAGTGGCTAAACAATCCATGTTTTACATATCTTGGTTGAAAATTGAAAGTAGTCACCAGTCAATCTATTGAGACAATATAAGGGATTATGCAAATGTCAAGAAAATTACTGAGACTAATCATTGATGCCATTAACATGAGTGATCTCCTCCATGAAAAGGAAATTTTTTATGGATCCAATGATAAATTCTAATATTAAACATATGATGCAAGATGGCAATAATTCCATGAAGACATAATTCTAAGATCTGATTTTTCTTCTTTATATTATACATATAGATGAGAGAGAGTGCGTTTGTGGATTTAGCAGTAAAGCGCCTGCACAATGAATCATCTAATGGTTTATAATACCATGCATTTTTATACATGAATAACAATCAGGCACATGTAACATAAAAGCTTTAAATTGTTTATGAAAAAATGGTAAACTTAAGTACTAGAACAATAGTAAATACTTGAAGAAGTCAATGCCAGCAGTTTGATAATTCTCCATAAATTGGAGATTGCTGGGACAAAATAGAGAGCTTTCAATATTGCAGACATGATCACAGGAAAGCCAACCTGGTTGTACTTGACAAGCCGCTCTCCCCGGCAAGGGGCACCTGCCTTGATCTGACCAGTAGCCAGGCCAACAGCTAAATCAGCTATAAAGGAATCTTCTGTCTCTCCACATCTATGGGAGGTCACAACTCCCCAATGAGCATCCTTTGCCAACTTCACAGCTTTGATTGCTTCTGTTACAGTTCCAATCTGATTCATCTGTATTTGCTCCAGCAAAATTATAGAATGTACAATCAACAGGTATTATGAGATTCAGAGGTTTAAAAAAATTTCATCTTGCAGTTGTATATGAGACTTTGCTGTTTGGAAAAAAAAAACATACTTAGGATCCTGTTTAACAAGATTACTACTGGTTGATGTCTAGGAGACTGCAACTTAGGTGGGCATTGGTTGAGCTTCTCTGAATCAGCCTGGGCCTTCCCAATACAGCGTAAAATCATTAACTCGGGTACCCAAGTTACCCCTATCAATGTGGGGGGTTTTCCATGTTAAATACTTTGGAATTTTTAAGAAACTCCAGGGATTTAAATAAAGAATCTTTAAAACATGACGGGGTATGGGGAGTAGAAAGGGAGCTAGATGAGTAGCTAATACAAGAATCTCATGAGATGTACCACTAGAGCTGGTATGAGCCCTGCACATGGCAGAGAAACTCTTTCACTGCAGAATCTGCTTGTCCCAAGTGTAGAAGAGGAAACATCTGATTATGTGGTAAAAGAGAAGAGAATCATTTAGAATAACTGAATACCTTGAGAAGAAGGGCATTGCAGGTGGATTCATTTATTGCTCTCTCGATACACTTTGGATTTAACATCAGTAAGTCATCTCCTACCACCTGAAAAATCATTCAGCCTTGAAAAAACCTGTATATAGTTGGCAGAATATAATTGCTAAAACCATCTCACAGAGCATTAAAAGAAAAAAAATATTGACGGGCAAAAGAAATACAGTGATTTTTTAGCAAAACGAGTGTTTTGACAATAATGGATAATAACTATGTTAAGCTTAACTATCCCTCTGCTTGCTTCCCCCAATAAGAGAGATAGCTAGCAAAGAAAAAGTCTAATTGCTAGATTCCAATCATCTGTTGGAGTTTCAGTAACTCTTACCACTGGAAAGAAGAATCTTATCCAAGAAAACAAGTTCTAGAGTTCAAATCTAAACATTTTTATAAATTTTGTGAAAGAGGTACAACACTGTTTACAAGCAAGGCTAGGAAAGGAAACCCTAGCTTGCATAACAAGTTTCCTGCAAAAAGACAACTACAAAATATCTTTTTATAAACAATGGGCTTGTTATATCAATCTTCAACTTTGGGACGTGGATATCATGCTTGAAGGAAGACCTACTAAAGTTTTGGCCTTTTTGTGCTACTTCACTAGTGAAGAAGCCCCTATAAATATGGTGGGCCTAAAGCCATATGGATAAGGCTCATTTGTGCTTCATCAATATGACCCTCAATAGACAGTGAAAAGGGAGGCTCATTTGTGCTTCATCAATATGACCCTCAATAGACAGTGAAAAAGGAATTGTCCAAGAAATCTCATATAATTGAGATAAGGCTCAAGGCTTTGTTGACAATGGTACATTAAGTTTTGCATTCTAGCATCAATCAGGTTTTTTTTTGTTGTTTTTTTGAAAGGTAAGATAAGATTTTATTAATAATGGAAATCCAAGATACAACAGAAAAACTAGCCACAGAAGGACTAGCCAGGGCACAAAGCCAGATTACAGACTCCAAATGGGCTGGGACCTAAACAATTCAGGCACGTTTAGGTGCTTAAAGTCAGGAGTTACAGACAACCAAGAAATCAGCTTGCTGACCGCCTGCTGCACCAACTCATCAGTACTCTTTGACTTGTTGCAAAAGACTACTGTTTCTTTTTGACCAGATCACTCAAAGAACAGCCGCAGGGATTGTCTTCCATACTAATTTTCCTTTTTTCCTTCAAGCCTACAATCTTCCAGCTGAACAGAAGGTCTTTGACTGATCTTGGCATGACCCAGCATATTCCAGCAGCCCAGAAAAAGTGATCCCACACTCTAGAGGAGATAGGGAAGTGGATGCTCAGGTGGTCTATGGATTCCGGACAGAGTCCACAAAGGTCACACAAGAGAGAGGAGATCTGTAGACCCCTCCTATCCAAGCTGAATTTATAGAGGTACTTATTCAGAACCATAGTCCACACATGGAAGTTGGTCTTGGAGGGAGAAACAGGATTCCAAATTTGTTTACAAGGGAAATTAGCTGAACCAGTGCTGCTGAGTTTAGAAGTCAGGGACTTAACTGAGAAGCAGCCATCCCCACTCCATTTCCAGCTCCATTCATCCTCATTATTAGTATCAATGTTCTGACCCTGTAAAATATCCAGCAGCTCCAAAACCCCATCCAATTCCTAGTCAAGCAGGTCTCTTCTGAACTGAGGATCCCAGACCACTGTGATTGATGTAGCGCAATCCGGTCGGTCCTAGCTGTCAACGACCTTGCCTCTGACTGGAGCAACAGGTGCCTGAAACGGAGAAGGCGAGGAGTCTCCGGGGAGGAACCCGGTGAGAGTGCTCCGAAGCTCAAGTTAGTATTTCCTAAAAGGCAAGATCAAAACCAGATAGCGCAAAGTTATCACGTACCTCCATTCTCGGGGGGAAGAGGGCCTTTTATAACCACTTCGCGCACTCACTCCCAAGCTCCTGTCAGGT